CCATGGGTTTACCATCCTGTTTCTTACGAAACAGCTCTTGAATTACTTCATATGTCCAATTAATATTGTTGCTACCCCCATAGAGATCTTGTAAAAAACACCAAAGTTTCTTCACTGTCTTACAATAAAGAACTAAATCCTGAAGTTTAGGCTCCATAGTATTAAGAAATTAATGCAAGAGGACACTATCGTCTAATGTCTAAGATTCCGGTGTCGGAGTAGGAGGGTTTGTCAACAAATGTCCAGTTTTGTCTCGGTCTGCCACGTAGATTTCAATAACACGTTTCCACTAAAAATAGTTAATTCCATCAAGTTTCCAGTCAGTAATTCTACCAGAAAATATCTCTAAAACTTTTGTCTGGACAGTTAACTCAGAATTCTTGAGTTCCTCGGATCCGGCCATCATCAAACAAACAAGTAGAGTTCAAGACAATACCCTCCACAAATTGTACTCCAAAATGGAAACAATCAAAATATGTCCAAGGTCAAGAAAATAAGTCTTGAATTAGCCAATAGACTGAACAAGTTCAAAAACCCGAATGTTTAATTTTGAACCCGAAGGTTAAAGTGCAAGAACCCGAAGATTAACATGAAACCCGAAGGTTAACATGAAACCCGAAGGTTAAAGATCAAGAACCCGAAGGTTAAGATGGAACCCGAAGGTGTTTTTTATTATTTATTTATTTATTTTACAGGACAACTCGCAGATCAAATTCAGATTCGAAAACAAAAAGAGAGCGGCAAGCGACGGGCATAGCGACGGCAAGCGAAGGCCTCATGGTGGCGGCGGTCATCAACGGCGAGCGGCGTCGAGTGGGAGTTGTGTCGGGTGAGAGAAGCTCAAGGACGAGGACGTGGATCGGATGAACGAGGACGAGGAGTTGTCGAGGAAGATGAGGGCGATGACGATGGCGAGGACGAGAAAGATGAGGACGATAAGGCGGCTGCAGGGTTTTGGCGGCTAGGGTTTTGGAGAGAGACGCTAGGGTTTTGGAGAGAGCGGTTAGGGTTTTGACGGCTAGGGTTTTGGAAAGAGGCGGCTGCCTAGGGTTAGGGTTCGGGTGAGAGAAGCTCAAGGACGAGGACGTGGATCGGATGAACGAGGACGAGGAGTTGTCGAGGAAGATGAGGGCGATGACGATGGCGAGGACGAGAAAGATGAGGACGATAAGGCGGCTGCAGGGTTTTGGCGGCTAGGGTTTTGGAGAGAGACGCTAGGGTTTTGGAGAGAGCGGTTAGGGTTTTGACGGTTAGGGTTTTGGAAAGAGGCGGCTGCCTAGGGTTAGGGTTAGGCTTAGAAATTTGGATTAGTATATTAGGGTTAGGGTTAGAGATAGGCTCTGATACCATGTTAAAATTTGGAGAGAAAAGAATTTCTTGGGAGGGTTTTCCCTCACTCTATACTTTATTATTTATAGAGATGGATTAGTTACAAATTAATCTCACAGACAATGTGGGACTAAACCAATGCTAAACTAATACTCATACTCTCTTCTAACAAAGGACAATGAGGAGCATTAGTTCCAAGCTTCATATAGACAAACATAATTTCATTTTAATATAATGCAATCATTCACTATAACATCAACATGTATTGACCGGTTTTTGCTGAGACTTGGTCTATCCAATTCTGCATCACAAAGATGACAGCTCCCAGAAAAGATGACGTAATTTGGCTTGAGATTATTCAAATGACAAATTAATGTCGAGTTCATCATGTTGGCATTTTAACTCACCAAAAAGTGTATTTATAAGGGTGATGTTACTACACAATAGCAACAACCAAGTCCTTATGCCTAAGTCGACTACATGATTCATATTCCTCCATTCAATTTTATTTTGGGTATCTCCTCTGTTAACTATTACCATACCTTTCTCAATTGTTTCCAACCATGTTGTTTAGGTCTACCTCTAAACTCATTTACCCCATTAACTCATTAACTATAATATTATCACTTCTCCTAACCAGTACATTAAGTGGCATTTGTTGTACATGACCAAATTATCTTAACCGATTCTTTCATTTTATCCTCAATAAAAGCAACATCTCATCTCCTATAAGATACTCATTTCTTATCCTATCTTTAAGTGCATAGACCATCATAATATTCACGTTTCTGCTACACCCTTTCTTGGCACATGTTCCTTTTAATCACCCAACATTTTGATCCATAAAGCATTGGTGGTCTAATAATTAAGGCTCTAAAACACAATTTCATTATGGGTACGGTCTGATATCGAGTAGCTATATCATTAATCGGATTATGCAAAGATTAGTCAGATTATGCGAAGATTAATCAGATTATTCAAAATTATGTGTTTTTGAAATTTTTAATAAAGATATTATTTATCAGGTACAAAAATATAACTATTTATGGAAAATATAAAACATTCCAAGCAAAAGACTAACAATAATACGCCAACTATTCAAATCAAAGTCATATACACTTAAATGTAAAACTACTAAAAGTTCATAAACTAAAAAATCTCCCATAAGTTATAACATTTTAAAAACTTGTAAATTTCCCCACGTAGTCTTCTTCATCATCCTCATGGCGACCTTTAACTAAACGGTGGGCTATAGCGGCGATCAGCGTCGACACTCAGCAGCAGCCAGAGACATCAATTAATGGCAACTAGTACCAACAGAGAAGAGGCTGCGTTGGGGCATAGAGGGTTTAGATGCATCGTATTTTCTTTTGGGAACTTTTGAGGCAGCAATCAGTAGGCTTTAAGGTAACTAAGTGCACTTCGGGTCAGGAATATTATGTGCCTACATAATTATACCGGCACATAATCTTTAACCACTCGATTACGCGGTTTGATTGCATAATCGAGTGGGTTTCAGCTACCCAACAAGTTTTGGTGTCAGGTAGGAGTACTTAGCCGAGTACTCAGCCTGGCAGAGCGTGTTTTTGAACATTGTTAATAATTGTCCTATCTCCCTTCAATCCCACAGCTATTCTACGAACACATAAGATTCTAGAAAAACTATTACATTTTAAGAATCCTGATTTGATTCAATGAACAACATCATCCACAATCTCGCTATCATGACGAATGATTGTTTATAAATAACAAAAGTGATTACGTTTATTTTTTTACCATCAATATGTACTATAGGCTCTGTTCTTTTTATAATTTTGCTAAAATTACACTTCATATGGTTGATGTGACTCATGTACCAAATCTCTAAACATAAAATCATGCACCTCAGAAAATCAGCTACCCATTATTTACTTGAAACAACCTGCGAGCTTTAAATAACATCCCGAGGAAATTAAACAAAGAACGGCAGATTTCCACTGCAGAATTTTTACCAAGAAGTTTACAAAATTTGGTCAAACCCAATACATTTCAAGTGTGTGATCAGGTTTCTAAACGTTTGAATCTAACCTCAAGTTATATCCCTAATCATTGAAATCAATCCTCCACATCCTATGGTTTTGCTCAACTTTGTGCGCCGCCAAGAGAAATCGCAATGTCAAAGTCCAATGATGGTTACTAGATGGCAAAAGATAATGGTTCCTCAAAGAAAACCTCAAGAATCTAAACACGCATATACACTGTTCAAACAGCAAGAATGAAAAAAGAGCATTAGAATTAACTATCACACATAATCCAGAAAGAGAAGGAGAGCCTAAAGGATAGGAAGTGTGTGCGTGTGCATGAGACAGAGAGAGAGAGAGAGACAGAGAGAGAGAGAGAGAGAGAGAGAAAGAGAGAGAGAGAGAGACATTCATCACCCTACACTGGCTCTTTTAATTCCCCATCAATATGATTTTACGGGGACATAAGCAGGGACTAGCACAACTGCAGTCCATGAATTTGAACTTTCAAGTTTATAACCTGAACCCAGTTGCCTAAAGCAATTCAATTTAAATGGAGTGTGTCCAGAAACTCAACCCCACCGATTTCGAAGTACACTCCAAACTCAATTAAGCTCAGGATATTTAAACTAGATGGGCTTAGGTCCAAAAATTCTACATGTTTAACTTTGGAAAAAAGATAAAATATAGTGTCTATCCCATCAGTTGCTTATGCAACCGTTACATCATCTCCATTTGCTTAATTTGAATAATTTCATATCTCACATGAAACAACCTACATAATTCAGCATAGATATGAAGTTTTTGGTATTATCTACTAATAATTAATTTTCTATACAATTCATTTTTTTAATTCCCCCAAATATAAATCACAGGTTCCCCACTATCCAGCATTATTTTCAATAAACTAATAAAAAGTAGGCATTAGGCTTAATAGTGTTGGTTAGAAACAGATCTTGTTCATGTGACACTCAAATAAAATCCAATTTGATTGCAAGCAATATCCAACAATAAACTGAGGTTACGCTTGGCTGCATAGAGATGGTGAAAGCAAAAAAAATGCCTCTACCTGCTTGGCCTAGGACAAGAACGGTTTCCCAGATTAAATATATAGATAGAGCAATAGCAACACTTAATGGCAAAAAAACTAATAAAATAAATAAGGCTGTTGATGAAAAAAAACCTTACAAATATTCGTTTAGTATTTATATTAGCTCATATTGATATAGTTTCATCCCTTACTCTCGTTTTTATTGGTTAATCCACCCTTCAACAATGCTCCTACAGAAAATAATCGGAACATGAGAAAATCTACTGATCAACTAGCATCGGATGCAGATTATTGAAGTCCTTGCTCATTCCAGTGGCAAAACTTATCTACTTCAATTACTTCTTCTGAGTTCTTCATAGTTATCCTCATTTTGATGTAATTAACATTGATTCTTGCAGCAGACTTCAGCCACCTTATGCTTGTAGTTACCAACTTACTTTGCAAACTGTGTTAGGAAGATTGCTATTCATTGCTCAACTAGTCAATTCAGACATACAAAATCCTATGCAACTATTATGATTTAGAGCACTCTCATAGTCAAGCAGATGACAGCAAAATTAGTCATGCAGATGACAGCAAGATAGGATGCCAACAAGAAAGAATAGTAATATGAAACTTACATTTCAGCAGTCCCAAAGAATTCAACAAAATATTTCCGAGGATCAGGTGAGCGTTCCCAATCTTCTGGCCTGCTTATCTGGGGGAAAAAACCCCAGTGTTATGTTACTCGTAGAACATATAAGATATCAACAGATAGTTTCAGTAAAGATAGGTGGGGATGACAAGTTTAAACGAAGAAATTCATAATTCAAAAATGAGTGCAACAAAAAACCAAGGAATCAAGCACTTAGCAGGATGCTTGATCTTAGAACACTTCAAAAGTAGAAAAAACAAAGTAAAAGTTGTGATATAAATTATAGGACTCAATGCCCTTCTCAAACCCTCAACTACCTAGAAAACTTTCATGGTGGAGGGAAGCTCGTCATAGATGTCCCACTTCCACCCAAAGCAAACAAAACACATAAGAAAAGTGTAAAAGTCCACATTAATAATTTTCCTGTGAAATGACAGGAGAGGGACATAGTTATCATGAAGAATTATAATGAGCACACAGAATAAAATAATAACAATAATATAAACTCATTGCTGATAAACTAGATACATACAGGCCCAAGTTGGAGCCTCTTAGCTGTCGATCTTGACAATATTGGAAATGACTACCTCTGAGTTTATGCTAAAAAATCTTGAATGTATAAAGTAACCACGAAGTTTTCAATATATGAAATTCCTCTCTCACTATAATAAGTGCCATGACAACTAATGTGGTTGTTGAAAATAAATGAAATTAAGCGTCATGTATGCACTTTTAATGGATTTCTAATGTAGAAATAGCATCCTTAAGAAGGTGTTGCCTAATTGTTCAATCTCTTTTCTCCAAAATATACATATTACATAACAGGACAACTAGGAGAATGGGTGAAATCAAATCTAGTATACACCTGGCAAACCAGATTTATACCTCATGTCGCACGGATAAGTATGTGTCGACATGGACACAGCATACCAATAAGTGGAAAATTTGATGATGAATAGACATGCAATACATGTGCGGTGCCTCACACGTGCTCAACACAACATGGCTTCAAAAAAGAACTGTGCATGCTACATAATTGTCAAAGTAGATATAAATTAGCTTGATTACCTTGAACCAAATGATCCCTAGTCCTCACAAATCGATATTGTCTGAGTGCTTACGAAGGGTATTCATGTATACACCAAGAATGACACGACAGTCAAGTTTAGGCTCTTGTTTTTTTTTCAATTCATACATTCCAATTTGTAGAACTCGTAGTACTCCCCATATCAGCAAGATTCTAAATCCATTGGATAGCAATAATTTTACTAAGATTATAAGTCCACTTGATAGCAATATTTTCACCAATACTGAGGTCCAAAGATGTAAAAGATAAATATTTAAAGTTGCAGAAGTTTAATTACACTATACAGTTAAAATTAGTTTTAACCCACGATATTATATCTTGAAATTTATCTTTCACAATATGAATCCTTCAGTTACCATTCTCACTCAAACCCTATCCTCATAGTTAAAGATTAATTGTGCTTCTTCAGTTTCCCCTGGTATTCCTCACTCAAATGAATATAACTAACCCCCACCTAACCAAACTCTTCTTCCTGCCTAGAGGACTATGCCTTTCTAATTGAAAAAACAAAAACCATTCATACTACCGCTTTCCTATCTATTCACCAAAACAATGATGCAAATCTCGAGGCGAAAAACATAGATGATTATGCCAAAACATGGATAACAACCACAAATATCTCGGGGAGAAGGACAGAACATAGAATGCAAAAGGCATCAACAACAGCGAAAATTTTGTTTCCCAACCTTTAGGCTTG